TTGAAGTTGCTTGATGAGATTTCTCTCCAAGAATGAGACACATTTATAAAATAAGACTTGAAAGACTCACATTTATATTTGGTGAACTGCAAATTAGCACAGAAATAGACATCTGTTGGTTTATTGTAATGCTATATACAAAAAGTCAACTGCTCATACTTTTAATGAAATTTCTTTTTCTACTATTACTACTTAAGTTGATTATAATTTAGCATACTAGCAACTTGATTAAACGCATAAAATAAAATCGAAATTGCTAATCTAAGTACAATCACAATGCGGATACTTTTGAACCAGCAAGGCTCAATAGTCTTGTTATAAAAAATTGCATCAGAGAGAAATATTTTTGATAATGCATTGAATGCAAAGTGGGCTACTTTTGTGTTAATAATCAGAATAGGACAGAACTAATATGTGTATAGCAGAAAAACTCCTGTTTTTGTCAATGACTATGATCATAGTTATTTCGATTTTGACAAATAAGTATATACTTCAAGCTTCATTTTTTTTCATAAAATGGCTTTTATGATGACCTCTGGAAATAGAATCAATAGCATTCTTTTCAAGAAGTCCAGAATAGAAATATTCCTATCCAACTAAAGAGACGACTTGTTTCCAGCATCTATCAATAGTTCGTATATGCTTGAATATTTGCTATCATTTATATAAATTTTTTTTTCAACTTCACTGTTATCAAATATAAACTTAACCCTATCAACACCATAAAGTATCGATCCCAATTCTACCCACTATCTGTTGGTAAGATTGCTTTAGCTTCAAAACATAAGGATCCATTCTTAATTATATTGTAAATATTAGGTGTTTTTTTTCTTTTAATATTGCGTTCTAACCCATCTTAAGCAAAAAATATCACTGCTTTGCATTTGAACCAACAGATTCATGAAAATTAAGCTCATGTTCTGAATATTTCTTTTGTTATAATTGGAATATAATAACATTGACATGAATGATTAGAGGTGCAAATTATTATAATAAATAAACTAGTTTACTCTAAAACTATAATTAATTACAGTTTGAGAGTATAAACATTATTGTTTATTTATTTTAATCTTGATAATACACTTTATAAGAATTTTTGACTAATAAAGTAAAATTTTAAAATAGTTTAATTTGATTCTATTAAGAATAGTATATTATAATAGAGAATTATGGCTAATTACAAGTTAAATTGATAAATACTGTAATTTAAAAGAAAAACTTCAAAAATATTACAATTTAAAATTGATTAATAATCGAAAAGAAACAATTTTCAAAAAAATATTCAAATCAATATTAAAACCATAGTATGCTTATTTTTAAATTAAATTTATTCACTTGAAAAGTTTTGATTAAAAATTTAATTATTGAATTTTAACTTGCAGATAAATCAATATGGATTGACTATTCATTTTCTTGTATATTCAGGAACTCAAAACTTATGAAAGAAATAAAACTGATCTCACACTGTTTTTTGAAATAAGTTTCTTTTAATTATGCCAAAAACAGGTAAATATTCTGGTTTTTAAATTTATCATCTAAGAAATTAATATTTAATTTTGTTCTTAAAAATTTGTAATGTACCAAATTAAAGTAACTAAACGCGAGAAGGTAATTTTAATTTACAAATCTCACTGTTTATTTAATGTTTATTTCTCTTTTATTATCATTTATTTATATTTTCTCAGGATGTCAAGCTTACAAAAGAAAACTTGGCATTCGACTCTCCTGTACCTAAGACAATACTTCGTAATATTTCTTTCGAATTCAGCAAAGAATTTACATATATAAGATACACCACAATTACATGCGATCCAGATGAGTTTGTAGGAAAGAAATATATAATTCGACAAAATGATTATAAGTGAGATACCGAAATAATGGTTGTTATTACAATGTATAATGAAAATTATACTCTCTTCATTAAAACAATATCTTCTGTCATCAAAAATGTGGCATATATTTGTTCTAAAAAAAGATCGAAAATATGGGAAAGTGAAGGTTAGAAAAAAATTGTCATGTTAATTGTTTCAGATGGTCGTAATAAAATCAATAAAAGTACTTTAAATGTTTTAAGTGCTATAAGATGTTATCAAGATGGAATTATGCAAGATAGTGTCAGAAGAAAACCTATCACTGTGCATCTTTTTGAATACACTACACAATTAATAGTGGATAATGATTTTAAGGTTCAAGGAAAAAACAATAATATTCCACCAGTTCAAGTTATGTTCTGCTTAAAAGAAAAAAATGCAAAGAAATTGAATTCTCATCGTTGGTCTTTCAACGCTTTTGCTCCTCTTTTGGGTCCAAAGATTTGTATTTTACTTGATGTGGGAACAAAACCTTCACATACCTCAATTTACCACCTATGAAAAGGTATATTTAATTTTATAAATGAGTGCACAAGAGGGAAATTCATTAATTTGATAATTTATTACTGAAATTACCAAAATGCCGATCATAATTTTTGGGTCCAAATTAATTACCCTCTTACACATATATATTAAAGTGCATAGTTACTCATTTATTTATTTGATATATCCGGCTTTTAATCGTAATTCTGATATTGGTAGTGCCTGTGGAGAAATAAAAGTAGACCTTGGTCATAGATGGAGAAACCTTCTTAATCCTTTAGTTGCATCTCAAAATTTTGAATATAAAATGTCTAATATCTTAGACAAGCCATTTGAATCTGCTTGGTTATATTTTAGTATTACCAGGTGCTTTCTCTGCATATAGATACAAAGCATTAATGAATGGACCTTTGGAATCATACTTAAAAGGTGAGACCATGCATGGTTCAGGTGTTTCTAAAACTGAAATTTTTGAAGCAAACATGTACTTGGCAGAAGATCATATTTTAAGTTTCGAGCTTGTTATTAAAAAACATGAATCATGAAAATTACAATATATAAAGGCAACCAATCTAAATATTATATTATTTATTACTGGGGGAGCCGATAATTGCAATTCAATAGTGTTGTAACCAATTATTGATAAAGGTTGACAATGCTAATCTTAAATGTTAATCATCATGTCACGTGATGTCAGTAATATTGTCACTAGACCTATATAGGTGTAATGAATAATTTTATGTGACAAATAAGAATTTACTAATTAATTAAATTAGTTAATCTTTATTCGTAATGAAAACGATTTATCACACCAAAAATTGACTGCGCCACCAATAAATTAAGAATCAATTATTCGGTTACTACAAATATGTTAGTATTTTTAACACATTATTTGTTCAGTCAGCTAAAGCAGAAACTGATGTCCCAGACAATGTGCCTAAATTTATTTTCCAATGTCGTCGCTGGTTGAATGGATCTTTCTTTACTGCTTTCTATTCTATTATCAAATTTACTCATATTTGGAGCTCTGGATAGCCACTTTATCGCAAGATATTATTACAAATTCAATTCATTTATAATGGTATACAGTTAATCTTTAATTGGTTCTCTTTAGTAAATATGACATTTTAAATATTCATCAAAGATCAGTATCTAGTTTTGTTATTTATTTTACTTCTTACTTTTTTTACTTAAATTAGGCAAATTTTTACTTGGTATTGTTTTTTTTATTTCAGTCCACCACATCAAATCCTGCAACTGATCCTTTCAAAGGCCATGAAGATAAATTATTTGATGCTGCACGATCATTATATTTAATAATTATTGTAATAGTTTTTATCTGTTCAATGGGCAATCATCCTCAAGAAACAAAATTGATATATATACTCTGTATTGTTCTCTTTGCAATTATCATGGCAACTATGCTTTACTGTTCAATTTACATTATTTATCTTACTGTATTCAAAGCAGTACCACCAATAGATTTTAGAAGCACTTCAAGTATTCAAGAAGCTTTAAAGAATGCAGCGTTCCAGGATATAGTAATTACTGTTTCTTTGACTTACTTACCATATCTTTTTTCATCCTTTATTCATTGTGAACCATGGCACATGTTCAGCTGCTTAATTTAATACATTTTACTTATTCCTTCTTACGTAAATATTCTTATGATTTATTCTTTTTGTAATACTCATGATGTTTCATAAAGTACAAAAAGAGATAATACTAATACTGGCAATCTGAATGATAAGCCTGAAGAAGCTAATAAAGTGACCATTAAGATTAATGTCATTGAGAAAAAAGATATAGATGCTTCATACAATAACATTATCGATGAGTTAAAATTAAAGGTCACGAAGAAAAGCAACATTGTAATGCCTTTACAAAGAAAGATGATTATTATAGATTGTTTAGAACAAATTTAGTTCTTTCATAGATATTTACAAATGGATTAATAATCATTTTATTCACATCAAACACTTTTTCAAAATATTTTTCAAATCAAGATTATAGTGGTGCTTATAATTCTTATTTGGCTTTTGGTAAGATATTTATTTAAATGAATCTTAAAATTCTTTGATATTATATCTTATTAATTTCTTTGTATCAACAGTACTTTGGTCAGTTACAATTTTATCTGCTTTCAGAGTATTAGGCAGTGTAATATATTTATTTCTTTGCTTAGTTTTCAAGTTAAAAAAACTAGTAAATTACTGTATTTATTATAAATCTTTTTGTAATCACTTATAACCTATTAGTTACAAATAAATAGTATTGTAATTCGTATTAAAAATTGAAATTTAAATAAGCAAGTATTTCAAGATGATACGGTTATAAATTTGCGATCTCGTGGGTTCTCGAAATCATATGAAAGCCATACTATAAGATTAATCTTTTTAAAAAAGTCTCTAATTATTATTCTGGCCAGAATTATGCATGTTATACACTGTATTGTACTGTTTATATTATTGAGTTCGGATTCAAATGTATAAAGATTAATCATTAAAGAGACCGAACTTAGATTGTTTCTTAATTAAAATATTAATTCATTGAAAATATCACAACTTGAATTTTTTTTAAAATGCCTTTTCATATTCCTTTCGAAATCACAAACTATCAAGAAATTTTAAACAATGTTATTAACAACATCGATCAGCAAACACTTGAAAAAATCAAACAAACAGTTGTCTTACATGTACCTCTTCATCAACTTATTGTACCGAGCAAAAATCGAAGAACACAGCAAATTCCCAAACCCCAAAATAGTTTTGTACTATACAGGAGGAACTTAAGTACAGCAATTAATAATGCAACAAGCACTCTTTTATGTGCATCAGATAATAACGCAAGTAATGTTTCATTCATTTCAAAAGAAGCATCTGAAAATTGGTCAAAAGAAAGTAATGAAGTTAAACAAGTTTACGAAGTATTAGCTAATTATGCAAAGAAAGTTCATAATATAGTGTATCTAGATTACAGTTATAAACTAAAATTTAATAAAAAGAGATCTAGGATTCACTTATCTAAAATACTAAAATTACCCTTTTCTCCAATTATGGCTTTGTTCTAGCCCATGTTCAAGGCATATCCTTTTGAAAAACATCCTGAGTTCCCAACCTTACCCCACCACAAATTATAAAAGTAGAGAATAGGAATCTTACAGAATATGATAAAAAAGTATGGAGATTGGTTAATGACTTAAACAGAGTATA